CCCGGAAAAAAAAAAAAAAAAAAAAAAAAAAAAAAAAAAAAAAAGAATTCCCATAAAACAATCTCTGTGCACTACCATAAACTTTCAGAAGAATGAATGTGAAAGCTGGTCAGGCAGGTCAAGCAACAATTTCTACAAGAACAACTTCCTCTCTGAGCTGTCAGAATAAGGAGACCAATCTTAATGACAAGGTCAGAAAGCAACAAGAAGAGTTTCCTAAAGATATCTTTATACACGCATAGTGTGTGATTTAAAATGTCCTCAACAAATGAATAAAGGAACTAAATTAGCAAAAATAAGTAAACTTCCATTAATGGTTACCAATTTGCACACTGTTTTGTTTCAAAAAGTACTGCATTAAATACTAATTGCTTCTCTGAGTTCTGAAATTCTCCCACTTCTAGGAAATATGTAAGTGGTAAAATAATCTAAATAGATCAATTTTGTCATAACTATCACTGATCAAAAAAGCCTGTTTGGCCACAGAATCCAGAATTTTATGTGTGCTTATTTGTTAAAGTAGCTAATACTTCATATGAATAGTACATATGGTAAAATGCACGCTAGTAAAATTAAATATTACTAACATACATAATAGTGACATAACTCAAGGGAATTGATAAAGAGTATAATTGCTCCCATTTAATAATATAAGAACTTACATCTATTTCTTCAGGAACACTGTGTGATTTCATAGATGAAAGCAGTTCCATTACAGGAATTACTTCCCCAGTAAGCATTGGAATAATACTCTGACCCTGCACAATAAAACAAAATGATATGAAGAAAATCACAAAATAAACTGGGCAATAAAAAATTAAATATTAAAGCAAAGAAAAACACTCTTTGATGGAAATACTTGGTAACTTGTTTAAACACAGTTGCAAACAATTCTACTACTCTGAAATATTTCTAAAAGATTTACACGTTATTTAAAGCTCATTTTCATTCTTCTAGGAATAATTTTCTTTGGTGAGCATGGGACCTCTGGTTTATCACTTACTGTTACATGCAGTAATTAAGTCACCATTGTACATTTGAAAAGGATCTCCTTTGAAATTTATTTGAGATATAAAAAATCTTACTAAAGATCATCAATACAGCCAGCCATCAAAAAAGCAAAACAAAACATAACAACAAAAAACACAAAGGTCATGAATACTTTTCATATTGAAAAATGAGGAAAGCCACACTTTGGAATCCTTGCTAAATAACTCAATAAGAAAGCTTGAATAAATACGCAATCTCACATTCATAATAGGAAATAATCTACCCAAATGCAAATCAAAATCATCACATATATTTTAAGAATCAATAAAACAAAAGTTTCCTTTAGAGTTCTTTCAAGATAATACTACTACTTATTATACCTCAAAAGTACAATTAGAAATTTGCAGTTTCTAGAATCAATTGAAAAATCAATATAGAACACCACAAATGTAAAGTGTCTCAGATATGGGTGATCCCTCACTTATTCACTACGAACACCAACCCCAAGTTTTTTAACCAACCTGAATATGTAAACGTTTAGAGATATAGATGAAATTGACAAATATATATCAATTTTGTTAAACATATTTAAAAAATAACTTATTTAAAATAAATTTAATAATAGGTTCTTCTTTACTCACATTTCATGAAATGATTTAATTCCAACTCTTCACATGCATCTTCAAATTAGAACCTGTCATTCCTAGAGCTGTTTTTTGAGTAACTTAACCCAGTTTTTCAGTTGCTTATCATGTAAACTGTTTGAGAATTTAAATGTGATGCTATCTCTAAAAGTTTTATCCTAAGCCATAAGCCAATTTGCATAATATAGAAAGCTTTATTTAAAAAAATTCATCCTGTACTAACCTTCACAACTAACCACTCATTGTTTTGCTTTTTAAAGTAATTGTTAAAATGCTTATTTACCAATTAACACACGCAATCTAACAATAATGATTGATTTTTGTTAAATTTCCTTTATTTAATTACTCTATTACTAGCAGGTTAGAGGTTGGTAAAAGTCACCCCATTCCTGGGGACCCTGTGTATTGATCAACAAGTAAAGAATTGCTTCCCTGGATAAAGGAAAACTTTTTCTTATAAGTCTTAGAGCTTTCCCCAGAATTACCTCTTCTGGCCTGGAAAGCTATCTGCGAAAGTACAAACGTAACAATTCTGTAAAGGAGATTGTTTTATAGGGTTATGTATGTTCCTTGTTTATGTCCCTGTATTTTCACAAAGTTTGAGAGAAATTATTTTTTAAAGTATCATTCAGTCTCAGTCATATTAAGGAAAACCGGAGAAAAGGCAACCCAGCCATGTTCAGACTGGAGTTTTACAGAAAGAGCAAGAAAGGTGGCATGCCAGAGGCAATGGGAGTAAAAGTAAAGAACCGTTTCTCCACTGGAGATTACCCTGCAGGAGAACTTCTCTGCCCTACACTGAAATGGTCTGCATTTAATTCCCACAAAGGGAAGTCATACTCTTGCAGCCATGCTTCTCAAATTCTGGTGCCTACTCCCTAAGGGCATTCAAAGCCATGGGGAAAACATGGCATGTTTTCCTAGAGATTTAATGTTACTGGAAGGTTGAGCTGTAAGAGGGTAGGACTATCACTGGAAAAAGTTTTTTTTTTTTTGTCTTTTTTCGTGACCGGTAATGGGACTGCAACCCTCGGTGTCGCGCCCGCACCGTGCTCAACCAGTGAGCGGACCGGTCTCTATATGGGATCCGAACCCTCAGCGGGAGCGCTGCCGCACCCCCAAGCGCCGCACTCTACCGAGTGCGCCACCGGGCCGGCCCATCACTGGAAAATTTTAACATGAAAACAAATAAATATCATGTAATAAAATGTAAATTGCATGGGTATTAAAGATACAGCATAAGACTTTAAAGCAATATTATGCTTAGAGCAATGCCTGTACCCCCAGGCACCTTCGGGGTATCCTCACTTTCCTCCTGTTGTAACTATTTCTGTGGAAATGTCTGAGAAGCAACACTTTAAAGAAAATCTCATATAAAATTTAAAAAATTTTTACTCTGCACAAGCCATCTGAAACTTATTCTGTATAAACAGAAAAAAAGGGAGCAAAAGATTAATTTGTAGATGCAATTACTATTATCCTTTGTTTATTTAATTCTTTAGGTCTAAAGTATGAAATTTTCATCTAGTTTATTCCATACATCTCCATAAAGGCACTGTTCATTTTCAGGCTCACTCGGTTAAACTAATATGTTCTCAGGCCTTCAGCCTTATACAGACATTTGCTGTGTGAATAATGGTATTTGATAGTATGCAATCTGCACTTTACCTGATCTTCCATTCTCTCTGTGCCTTCTAAGACAATCTTCTGGACATTTTCTTGCCTTTCCTGAGCAAGAGAAAATTTATTAAACAAAAACCCCCACAATATTTTGATACTTGCTTATTTTTCACAACACAGTTAAATGCAGACATATTTTTCTGTAATTTAGTTCATGGGGAAAATACTTTTCACTTTAGGGGACAAAAAGGGAGAGGCAGGAAATTGACTCAACACACACATGCTCTCATAGACAATACGAAATAAAATCAAAGTGCTTTTTATGTTGCAGTGAAAAAATAGACAATTTAGCAGAAAATAGTTAATGGAACATTTGCATAGTTTCACAAAGGAAAATAATGACTTGCAAATGTCAAGTTAAATAAGAATTTGAACCTGGGGAATATAAAGCTTCCAGATTTTAAATAATTTTCATAAACATGTGAGAAAAAAGGAGGCAAGCCTTCAAGCATAGTAGAAAACTATTCTTTTAAAACATACTATTTTTCGTTATTATCTCATAAAAGCCTTATAAAATCAATAATGCTTTAATGGACTTCCAGGTTAGTATCAAACTAAAACACAGAAAGAATTGAATTTGTTCTTTAGATATGCCGAAAGTATTCTGAAATGTAAATATCACTATATACTAAACCATAGGATGTAAGGGACAACAATTTCCTCTAGCTTAATCCGCAAAATTAAAAGGAATACCTCCTGGAAGCCATTTGGCCCAGCCTCCTCATTTTACAAATTTAGGAACTTGGCAAAGAAGTTAAAGTGACCAAAGGCTAAATGGCTGACAGCTTATGAAACAACTCTTTTGAATTGCTTATACCTACACATAGCAGTAACTGAAAGACAGGGTCATGCAATGAAAGAAAATAAAAAGGTATTAGCGTCAAAGGCTCTCAAGACATATCCAGACTCTAAAAGTTTCTTAATTTCACTAAGCTTCAGATTTCATCTGTTATGTGCAGCTACCATCTCCTACCTTCCATGGTTATTATGGAGATCACAGATATCAGACCAGATCTATCTGTATCTAACAGGACAGACGCAAAATAACAGATATTGTTTGACATTAATTGCATATAGTTTCTAAAAATTAGACATAACTGTATCAGAAAATAAACTTTCAATGGCTAGGTTAACATGATTAATAAGCTCAAAAACCACTCACCTTATGCATCCATATCCTTCCTTTCCGGATAATATGTGTTAATCTATCAACACACACTCTGTGAAGTGGGAGGTAGAAACTAAGTTCCGACTGTGGAAGTATAATTGACAGTCCATATGTGCTCCGATCCCCATTCCAGTTTCCATCAAAGATTAATGAAACAATAATCACTCCCTTTTCAGACAAGACAAAAAACTTTACATCTATGGCCCCACTCTCTGCATTTCGAAGGATTTCTCCATTCAGGGTGTGGTTGGCAAGAAAAGTTATTTCTCCATCACTGAGAAGTACCTGTTGTGTCTTTGGAGCCCAAATGTGCCTTACTCTAGGACCAAGAATATTGTCCCAATAAGCAAAGGTAGCTGCTAATAAAGGTGATTCACCACTTAAAGCAATCTCTGTCTTGGCAACAGCTGGAGATGGTGGTGGGCAGAGAGTCGACATCACTGCATCCCAACTGTCACATTATCCAAATGCTCCAGAGAGGTCTAAACAGTGACATACAAAACCGAATGATTAGGTTCAGCCATTTTAAAGATATTCATCAAAACCCCAAGTGATTTAGACATATGTGGTTTCTCCTCTTAAGTCAAAAAAGACTTAGAAGCATGTCTTTTACCAGGATGGGGACATCCAACTAGCACTGTAGGTGCACATTAAATATGATGATAATTTAATGAGACATAGTAACTTGCCACTTATATTCAGGGCATACATTTAGAAAACAAAAATAAAAATGAACTAAAAAAAAGGGCTTCTTTACATTCACACGAAATGTTATATACCAAATTTCATAGAATAGACCCTCATTGTTCTCAAATATCCAGTCCATGTGCAACTTTAGGATTGGTCTTTAAACCACAGCAACTAAAGAGGAGCAAAATAGAAAGGTAAAGGCTCAGATACAGACCATGACCCTTGTAATAGATTGAATTGTGTCCCCCCAAAAGATATGTTCAAATCCTAACCACTAGAGTATATGAATGTGACCTTATTTGGAAATAGGTATAATCGAGTTAAGATGTGGTTATATTGGATTAGGGTGAGTCCTAATCCAGTGACTGGTATATTTACAAGGAGAGAAAAATTTGGAGATACAAAGGAAAGACAGCCATATGAAAATGAAAGGCAGAAATTGGAATGATGCAACTATGAGCCAATGAATGCCAAGGATTGCTAGTAACCACCAGAAACTAGGAAGAGGAAGCCTTCTCTAGACCCTTCAGAGGATCATGCCCTTGCTAACACCTTGACTTAGGACTTCTAGCTTCCAGAACTGTGAGAGAATAAATTGCTGATGTTTTAAGCAACCCAGTTTTCGGTGTTTTGTTATTGTAATCCTAGAAAAGTAATACAGCACCTGACAGCAGAAATACCTTCAAGCTGTTAAAAAGACAAAAAAAAAAAAAAAGAAAGAAAGAAAGAAAGAAAAAGAAAGACAAGACATAAAAGCAAAAAACCCAAGTAGGGAGCCATAACTAAAAATGAGTAAACCACCCTGTTATCCTCAATGAACTCTCTAGTACCAGGGCACTAAATCCCAAGAATGATGTTTAAAATGACACTGAAACATCAAGGCAAAGATAAGTACACTTGCCAGTCAAGAAAGCAGTACAGTGTATATAGTATTTTATCACTGTGAAGAGAGTTCTATATTAAATGGCTAAGATAAAAAAGCTTCAGTTATTCAGAACATGTACAGAACAAAAGGGCTGGATGGGCCCTAGTCAAACCTTTCAATCTACTGAGAAACAGGCACAGAGAGAAGAATGAACCAGCTTGCAGCCAAACCAGAATCCAGGGTTCCTGGTCCCCTTGCTTAGTTTGTATATCTTTATCCACTCAAATACTGTATATTACTCTACAAGAGTACATTCTATATGATACTAGCATAAAACTAAACATTCTAGCAAGTACTATAATTGAAGACTTGTATTCAAAGACTGAAAGTGAAAAAAAGTATGACACTTTCATATAAGCAAGTCTAAAACTGTGGAATCTATTTACCATAATAGTAATAGAGAGCAGCTAATAGTCCTGTCTGCCTGGATGATTGCTGTGAGAGTTAACATTTGATCTATAACTAAATTTATGTCAAAGTAAACCATTTTACTTAAAGAATTGTACCTACATCTTGTCAAGAGGATTCCGAGTCTGATGAAAAGCAGTGACTTCTATTTTTAGAGCATTACATGAGTACTTTTATTGCAATTTTATGAATCGGCATGCAGAGCTTGGCAAAACACTTAAATATGAGTACATGCAGAAATGGCTTAACACAAAGACAGTTTTTAAATATGTATGTTTAATTTCAGAAACTCATTAAGGTAATATTTACTTTTTAATGTTATGCCAATTTAATGATCTTGAGAGACCACACTGGACATAAGCTGTACAGCTTGTTTAAATATCCACTGTCTCAGATACAATTTAAAAGGTTAGTTTTCAATGATGGGATACAGGAATGTAATTTGAATTGAAACGGTAATGATGCTATTGTTGTTATCATTAATAACAGAAATCTGGAGGACAAGGAGATGAATTAAGTAAGCACACAACCATAAAATTATACTGTAAACAAATTTTTCTTTCATTTTTTCTTTTTGGATAAAAAGGTGAATAATTATAAAGGCAATATTACAACTCAAATATTTCACCATTATATTGATAATAAAAGTATTTTCTAAAACAGAATTGAGCCCTAGAGCAAAATCTGATTGAATTATGAGAAAACTTTTTACCTGATTATGAAAATTATATTATCATAGGTCACTAATACATTCAGTCTCACCCCTAGTATAATTGGAAAAAAAACGAAGGACAAGGATCATGTTGAATTACTTGGCTTTAAATCCTGCCAAAAGAAGTAACCTGAGAAATGAAATGTCACAGGAAGTATTATTAGAAGAGTTGTTAAAATAATTTTACTAACACTTGAAGGCGTCGTCTTTGGCAAGGAAAATCCATATATACAATTGTGGCTGAAAAAAAATCAGTTCAAAACCAATAGTCTTTTATCAACATATCTTATGCGCATGTGGTATTGGCTACTCCAGAGGGTTATCAAACAGTAGCCACAGTCTTTTGAGGGAAGACAGGATCCAAATTGGGTGAGACGGTGGCTTGCCACTCCTGTAAACAAAGCATAGGGTTCATGAGGGTTTACCCAATATACTTTCTGAAAATAATCCAACATATGCAGAAATATGATTATGTTAATAAGCATCTGATAAAACTGTTAGAGCGGCAGGTTTGAGGTTTTACTTTTTCTTTAAACATTTGCTAAAAATCAGCCATCTCTTCCCTTATTGGTATTTAGAAAGATGCCATGGTAAATCAGAATTCTATCATCATAAGGCTCTCTCACTTCTTGTAACCATGCTTTCTATTTACTTTCTCCCAGTCCTAAGAGAGGCAGGGTCCTAAACCAGCCCACCTTCCAAAACAAGTTTTTCCAGGACTAGTTTAAGGACAGTGAACTGCTTTTAAAACCAGACTGCAATACTTTCAAAGTTTTCAGTATTAAGCAAGACCCAGAGATGCAGTTCATGCTCTTACTATCTGGCCATCTCTCACAGATCCAAATTTCTCAGGTAACAGGCAGGCTAACCTATCACTCCAAGGAACTATTTAATTAACATAGAGCCCAAGAAAGATAGGAGTCTTCATTGCTTTTTTTACTTCTTTCTCTGAAAGCAAATTTTGTACTGCCAAGAGAGCCAAATAAAGAGACTATTTTATCAGCTTCATAAGTTGTATATAATTGTTTCCTGGAGCAGATAAATGCTGGATTAGTGCACAATTTGCAACGTGGTCTGCAATTTCTCTCATTTTTGTTTCATAGGTATAAAGAGCACAGTCATCATTAAGCAGTTTTCAACCGATTCAGGGTTTTCCTAGTGTGGTAGGGTTTGGCAGAGGCGCTGGTAACAGTGCCTGCGTCCCATAACACCATCATATTTTAAGTATTTAAAGTATTTAAAGTATTTTAAATATTTAAGTATTTAAACACCATCGTATTTTAAGTATTCTGACTCCATATTATTAATATCCCATATATTATAGTCTTGCTTCTGTGAAGTTCTCAGATTATGTTAAACGTTTTCCAAAATCTGAGAAAGATCACATCTAACAGTATTTTCCAGTCTTTTGAACCTTTTGTACAAAGTAAAAGTAATGCCAGACAGATTGCATAACCTTGCTGTGCACCACCACTGATGGATGGGAAGTTTGAATAGGAATTTAGCCACCTGCCACAACTGCTATTCACTAGAGCCTAACAATCTCTCTTGCGTCTGAAACGGCCATCCCTACTGGGCAAGTGCGTGACCTATCTATCTCCTTGTCCTTAATTTTGCCTAATGGAGTTCATCATGGCCAGACAGATCCCGTGTGGACAGACATGTAATCAGTGCACTTCTTTCTGCAACCGATTACCATCAGTCAAGTGATGCCCGAGTCACAATGGTCACTTCCTTTAAGTGAGTCTGTGTAATCTCGGAGCTATGAAGCAAGCAGGTCATGTCCCACAGAATGGGAGTACATTCTGCCTAGCACTGCTGCTCACATTTCCAAGACACTAGCACTGTTTACAAACTTCTATTGAAATTCCATAGGCGTGTAGAATGTCCACACTCCCATCCTGCCCCGCATTATCTCCTCGCGGGCAGAGACGTCTCGGGTTCCTAGCGAACCCCGACTTGGTCCCGAGGGGCCGCGCGCCCTCTGGCCTTCTACTGGGCCAGGCCTTTTGGTGGTCGGGGCTTTCTCTCGAGCCCATAGCGGTAGCGCTCCCGCTGGGTCCCCGCTGGGTCCCTGGGAAAGGGCCGGCTCAGGAACTGGGGCGGGAAAGCGGAGAAGAGGCCCGATCCCCATCTCTCGTGTTTGCGCCGCCGCTGCTGGGAAGCGCGGGGCCCGGATGCAGACAGCTCCACTAGTCGCTAGACTAGAAAGCCCTATGCCCCGTTTCAGTCAGGAAGGCGAGAAGAAAAGGGAGGACGAGTTGAGCCTCGGGGAGAGCCCCCGCTGTCACCCCCGAACCGTCCCGGCAGCCTGCCCCCAGACAGCCACCCACAAGCCCGCCGGCCAGCTCGTTCTTCACTCACCCACTCACCACCGCCTGCGCCTCCACCGCTGTGGGCGCAGGGACCGCAACCACAGCCCCGCCCCTGCCACGCCCATGACCACGCCCCCTACACGCCTCTAGCGCGCGTCCCAAGACCTCCCGAACCGGCCTCTAGCCGCGAATGTGTGCCGCCTTGTTTTCTTTTTCTGGTTAATCTTCATCGGATCTTTCTTGTTCAGCCTCAGCGAACAGTGTAAGAGCAAGTGGGAGAGAAAGGGCGGGAAAATCAAAATCACACACTTCCTGCTTTGTCTAAATCCAGCCCCCAGGGAGAAGAAACCGGGCAGCGGCAATGGCTGACGCGCCGGCTGCCATCTTTCTCGTGGGCGGAACGTGTAGCTGTTTGACGCACCTCTGTTTCCTAGTGAGAGGCCGTAGGCTACGTCTGGGCGTTTTCAATTTGCGATGACGTTGACGTACGAGGCGCGTGATAGGGGGCGGGGCAGTCTGGCTCATGCCTTTGGCTGAAGGCTCTTGCTGCGGTCTGTGGAAATGGCGTGAGGTGTTGACCTGGATGGGTGGTGCGATGCATAATGAAAAGGCTGCTGGGTACGGAGAAAACAAAGGGGAGCTGGTGGTTGTGAGTGGTTTTGGTTCTGGGCGCTCAACAAATATTTGATGAATGAATGGGTTTTTTTGGTGGTGTTAATCTTGTGACACTCCCCTGTTAGGTAACTTAAATTTTCTCCCTACGATACGTAGTCACCACAATTTTGTCTTTATACATAAGCATTTTCTCAAGCTTAACTTTCACACTTTATATGTAAGCTTTTTCTCAAACATGACTTTCGTACGACGTTTTTGCTAGTCGCACAATGTGGATGAGTTTTTTTAACCTTTGAAAAATGTACTTTACCATTACGTTTGGTGTGCTTTATGATTTTTTTTAAAACCTCGAGCCTTTTGGTTTTCATTATTCACTACAAATGAGTAGTATTTAACATTTTTCTTCATTAAAAATCATAGAGCGCGTTTTCATCATTCACAGAGAACGGGAGAAATAAAATACGCAAACTGACCCATAAGTCCAAACGCTCTCCAGAAATAGACCCCTTACCCGCTGCTTATCCTTGTAACACCAGGTGGTTACTGTTTATCGAGTTCCTACACTGTGTTTAGTACTATGCTACATAGTCTACATAAAGATTACAATTCATTTATATGTGTAATTTAAAACAAAATTGAATACGTAGAAACGGTAGAACGTGTTTGGGGTCTGGAGGAAAAGGGAAGCTGTAAATCAAAGGGAACAAAATTGCGGTTTTGTTGAATGAGTAAGTCTAGAGATCTAATGTACAACGTGAGGACTGTAGCTAACAATATTGTATTATATACTGGCAGTTTGCTAAGAGAATAGATTTTAGGGCTCTTATCACACACACAAAAGGTAAATGAAATGATGGATATGTTAATTTGCTTGACTGTAGTAATCACTATATATGAATATCAAGACATTATGTTGTACACTTCAAATATATACAATAAAAAAAGAATTTACACTTAATTCCTTCTGACATCTCTAGGATATAGATATTGTCATCTCTGTTTTACAGAGGAGATTACTAGGTTTCAGAGAGATTAAATTATTTACCCAAGGCCACCTAACCCAGTTGATTAGGGACAGTTTTTTGCAGTTCTGGAGCCCACTGAATCCCCAGGCTGGTACCAAGTTGATGACAGTCCTTCTCGGGTAACACCTATGGTGGTTAATACTAATACTCCCAGTTCAGAATAAGACTGGGACTCAGATTAAGTGCCTAGGAGAGGATTACAACTCCACAAACAGTTTTTCCTACTTCAAAATAATTTCCCTTGTCACCAGCAGGTTTCTGGTTTTGTGCAATATCAATCCTGGAACAACTATGTTTCCTAACAAAGAAATAAACACCAAGGCTTAAATTCTGCATGACCACAAGAAATAAGATATATAAGGAAAAAGGCTCTGTAAATGTGAATTTTTTCCCCACATCTAATCAAATTGTATGTCTCTCATCGGACTGGAGCAAAAAACAAACAAACAAACAAACAAACAAAAACATCAGGAGGGAAACAGTAATTATTACATAGTATGGTGATCCACAATACTTGTATTGCCTGAGAGTGTAGAATAGGAGGACAAATATTCTAGCACACATCCTTTCAGGGAACCAAAGAGAAAATGACATTAAGTATATGGTAAAGTAATCCATATTAGCAGCATCAAAGGATAGCTTGGGAAGGCTTTAACCTTATCCCCTCCAAACTCTTACCCTGCTGAAATAAACCACCCCAAATAACTGTAGCATCTAAGTGAAAATAATAGATTTTGTTATAGAAATACATCCTCAAGCAAGAGCCCTAGTCTTCAAGCAGAATGACACCGGTAAGACCTTATGTAGAAATTTTTGAACTATTACACAGAATTAATGCACAATCATGCAAAAAGGCTCTGCAACTAGGGGAACAGTAAAGCATATGGTTAAGAGCTTGAGTTCTGCAATCAGAGCTGGTATAAGTATTGTGTCTGCCTTTGATTAGTTACGAAACTTTGGGCAGTACTTCTCTGTGCCTCAGTTTTCTCACCTGCAAAATGGCATAAATAATTTCTCACAGGGTTGCTGTGAGGCTCATGTGTGATCAAACAAGCTAAGAGTTTAGAATGGTACATTCAAGAAGTGGTGGCTCTAATCTCAATTTTAGTAACTATGCAGGGATAATAAAAGCAATAACAAAGGACTTATAAGCCTTTCAAACTACGTAGATATTTATAATTCCAATAAATATTATATCAGAACCCAGAGGAAATTCCTGCTACATTACCAATGCCAATTATCAGGAAGCCTTTTCTCCATTCTCTCTATTAATGTATTTCAGAAATGTAGTATGTGCTGCTCTGGAGTTGGAGCTGAGAGCTCGTTGATTAGCTCCCATTTACCAAGATTACAGTAAATTAGATTTAACTGTGA